CATGAAAAGTTCATGCAAACGACCTGGATGCCGTTTTGCTGTTACATCTGGCATGCAGTGCGACAACTGCAAAGGTTGGTTCCACGAAGCGTGCACAGATCTGACAGCAACTACTTACAACAGACTCAGCAAGTCGAATCATAAGTGGGAATGTGTTACGTGCAGCACGAATGCTGTAGTCTTGCTGAGTAACATCATTGTCCTACTGACAGGTCTGCAAAGTAAGTTGTCAACAAACGTGGAAAAAGGCAGTCACAAAACGGGTAGACAAACAAGAGCGCTCAATGAAAACAATGAAAACAAGAGTAGGGATGTCGACAGGTCTACCATCGATGGGGCATGCATTAACACTAATGATGACATGTTGGAACTCAGCACCGTCATTACGTCGACGGTAATCGACCCTCTCAGCGAACTCTGGTCTCACAGCTCAGGGTCCTTGAAAGCGACAGTGGTTCCCAAAAACTCTGTAGGTGATTGGACCCACGTTGAAAGAGCTAAAAAGGACCAGGCGTCACCGTCTAAGTTGAAAACCCCAGGTGTTGTACGGAAATCAACTGGTGATTTGGTTGCACAGTCTACCCCCAAGAATGTCCGTCCGGTCATCAAAGAGCCAAGGATTCATAAACGTGCTTCGACCCCCCAAACAACAAGGTGCTAAACCTGAACGCACCGGAAAACCTGGGACGACAATAACGGTTCGTGATGACTCTCTCATAGTCATGAACTTCAAAGACAACCTTGACCTTACTCTCAGTTTGCAGGACAAAAATGATATGATGCTCTGGGGAGAATTGGACAAGAAACTTGGACTTCCAAGAATAGAGCCTTTGACAGTCACACGGCTCACTCGGTGAAAAGAATCTAAGCATCAAAATCACCCGAGGCTACTTCGTGTAACACTTAAGAATGCTACCGACGTAGAGGATGTCTTACTAGCGAGTCACTTAGTGAAATCAGATGGGAATGTAAGAATATTGCCTGACATACCGTATTCTGAGCGCAATCTCATCCGGAACATCCCCAAAGAATCTCGCGATCAGTTTTTCCGCGGGGGGAATATAACCGTGCAAGGTATACCGGAAAGCACGGACCCTACTCAATCAAAGACTGACATCAGGAAATGGAAATTCATCAAACAGTCCTTGAGGCTCAAACACATACTGGCTCAGCATGTGACGAGACTAGCCAAGAAGGACGGCGATTCTAGACCCCGGCTAATGAAGATGGCTTTCCCATCCTCCCACATGGCGGCTGCAACTCTGGAAGCATTTCGTGCCAACAGACGTCGACTGCTACCTGGAATCCACATGCATCCGGATAGGCCATACGAAGCTAGGACCAGACACAAAGACAAGTTGGGGTTGACCATTCCACGTGTGGACTGTCTAGACGATAAAAAAGCGTGTAAAGGACAGGGTCTACCACCTCGGCAAACCTCATATAGGTGGGCTACCTGTCCATTCACGTAAGGCTCATACAGAAAAACAGGACGCAACCCACGCGTTCCAAATTGACAGCATAAACTGCTTATATATGAACGCCGCGAGTCTACTAAACAAATTTGATGAATTACGCGAACTTAGCAACGCTAATAAGGCCCATCTAATAGGAATATCTGAAACCTGGATATCTTCTCAGTTCTCGGATCATCAGTTGGCATTACCTGGGATGTCTTTGTTCCGCAATGACAGAAAATCAGGAATTGGGGGTGGAGTAGCTGTTTACATACGTTCTTGCTTGGAGGTGCACCAAGTTCATAACCTCGAGTTTAACAATCTTGAGGAGTCTGTATGGTGCTCTGTAAGATTGTCTAGTACTTCGAGGTGTCTAGTCGGAGTCATTTACAGGAAGCCAACTGCCAACATCGAGTACGATAGTCGTATGCTGGAAGGACTATCCCGCTCTACCCGTCTCGGTTTCACACACATCCTGATTCTATGGGACTTTAATCTCCCTCTCTCTCTCGCTGAACACACGTATACTGGAGGCGACAACTCAATTGAAGCTCGGTTCTTCAACCTCATCGATGACTTGGGCCTATATGAAAATGTGAGGTCGGCAACTCGTTGGAGAGACAGTCAGACACCGTCGCGCTTAGACTGTGTATTCGCAAACGAAGAATTCCTAGTTGACAACCTCTCAATCCTGGCTCCCCTGTGAAAAAGCGATCACGCTTTTATAGCTTTCAGTTTCGTCAGCAAAACTGAGCTAAGATATCCCACCAACAAATTGCGCTGGGATTTCAAACGGTTGAATGTGTCAGCTCCACAGGACTATCTACAACAGGTGGATTGGGATGCTTACTCTAAACTCGATGTGGATGCTCATTGGGACATCTTACTGCACACGCTTATATGTGCTACAAATCATTCAGTTCCTCAAACGGTCCCCTATAGCTATCAGCAACCCACAATCATCAGGAACCACACTCTTCGTCTGCTAAGCCGCAAAAGGCACTGTTGGGCAGAGTACAAACTAACTGACAACAATGGAACGTGCAGGCAATACAAACATATAAGGAACATATGCACGATGGCTATAAGAGAAGACAGGCTTCAGTACCAGACAAAGCTCATGGACAAATTTGTCCCTAATTCGAAAAGCTTATTCCGTTATGCAGGCTCTCTTCGTCAAGCCAAAACTGGAATTTCCCAACTGCTAGGTCTTAACGGCCCGACCAACGACGACGGTGACGCCGCTAACCTTTTGGCTGAACAATACTCTCGGACGTTTCAACCGACTCACATAAAGTATATTGACGAAAGCTTCATCTGCAACTCCGAAGGACTTTCCGAAGTGAACCTGAGCGCTGACTTGGTGTTCCGGAAACTGCAGCACTTAAGAATTGACACTTCTCCTGGCCCGGATATGGTTCATTCTGCCATACTGAGGGAAGTAGCCTCATCTCTGGAAACACGGCTTAGCGTGATGTTCTCACACTCGCTAAGCCGAGGAAAACTACCAGAAAATTGGAAGCTCACTCACATCACACCAATTTTCAAAGGAGGTCGACGCAGCGAACCTCCAAGTTGCCGACCGGTGACTCTTCTCTCAGTATCTTCAAAAACCATGGAGTCCCTGATATGCGATGGTATAAATGACTATTTACTGTCCTTAAATTGCTTCTCACCCTAACACCATGGTTTCAGGAAGGGTTACTCTTGTATAACCAATCTGCTGACTGCGGTGGACAGATGGACAAGCATCCTTGATCACAAGGAGAGGGTTGACATCATCTGCCTAGATTTCTCAAAAGCTTTTAATAAGGTTAACCATACATGTCTCATCAATAAGCCCAAACGATTGGGTATCAGACCACCTCTAATCGATTGGCTTACTTCATACCTAAAAAATCGACATTTTAAGGTCAGGGTTAATTTCACTTTATCTCAGGCTATGGAATGTCCTAGCGGGGTCCCCCAGGACTCAATACTAGGACCTCTTCTCTTCTTGATCTACATAAATGATCTTTCTCAACAGGTAACGTCAGACTTATTACTTTTTGCCGACGACGTGAAACTTTGGAGAGAGATACGCAACCAAGACGATCTGCAGGCACTTCAGGAGTACCTGACTCGACTTCAAAGACGATAACGGACTTACCTTTAACACTTCGAAGTGTAAAGTAGTCCATCCGCGACATGTCGCAGACTACAGTTACAACTAAAGAAACTCCTCTCTAGTAGTATCCCAAGTCGAAAAAGATTTAGGAGTCCTGGTGCCCTACGTTTAGTCTTATGCTAAATGTGACAAAAATGCCTTCCGAGCAAACCTTGCACTGGTATCATTGAAGCGCATTTTTGGCCAGTTTGACGGAAGAACTTTCCATACAAGCCTCAATAGTTTTATCCGTCCCCATTTAGAGTACAGAAACAGTATTTCCTCCCTCACTTCAAAAGGATAAGGACACCCTGGAGCGTATCCAACGGCGAGCCACAAAATCAGTTCGAGGACACAAATTTAAACTTTATGAAGAGCGCCTCCATTCACTTCACCTTTACCCATTAGAGTATACACGTCTTAGAGGTTACCTTCTGATGGCTTATAGTATCCTTAACACTTCTGGACATCCTCTCAAACACCTACTTAAGCTTAGTTCGAATAATAACCTAAGGGGTAACACCCAGAAACTGGAAACACAACATAGCAAGACGGAATGTAGACACGAATTCTACTCCTTAAGAGTTGTCAAATGCTGGAATTCGCTGCCGAGCGAGCTTGTCCAAGCGACTTCCCAGAAGTCTTTTAAGAGGCAACTTGATCTATTCCTAAGGATTGAGGATAGTATCGCTCTATGATTTACCAATTTCTTTTTTCTCTTTTATTTTTAACATATCTAGGTTCTTGCCTGGAGGTTTTGGTGACCCCCTGCTACTAGACACGGGAGCCTGTTACGCTAAAGCTTCTTCTATTCCTTCCACAACCATTTGAACCGTTTGAACCGGTGATGACGAGACTATTTACAAGTTTCAGCATGAGTGATATATAAAACTTCAAACATTTCAGGAGTGTCACTCATCTGAGACAAGGATAATGATTCAAACCCATATCCAGTCCATCCATCAAGTATATAATGACCTTTATCTGTTCATTTTTCTGTTCATGAAATATATGGTACGGTTTTTGCCTTTTGGATAAACAAATGTTTGGGTACAAATATTTAGGGATCTTAGGAGGATCATGCTTCAAACTTGTCAAGACTAATCAGCTCTAATCATTCAAATGGAAGATCATAGGTGAGAATCAGGTGAATCAAATTATAAACATAAATCTTGTCACTATCTGGATGGCCCACAACTTCGATACAATCCGTTGAACACTCTTATCGTAGTCGTAGAGTAGTAGGAAACATAAAAAGAACTATATGCTATTAATTTAGATTGAAATCCAGTAGTTTAAGTTGTGATGTTTTTAACTATTATTTTGTTAATGTGAGCTACTTTACTTTATGGCGACGGCGCTTAACGACATTTTGTTTCGTCTGATCTTCAAGTAGTATGATTGAGAGGCGTTCCATTTTGCGTCTTACGGATGTTTCAAGTAAGTACCGCACCGCAAGGCGTCTTTCTTCTATCCTTCCGTGTTACTAACTATCAATGTTCGTTCAGGTCTTGCTGAACTTGCACACAGAGAATACCAAGCGGGAGATTATGAACGGGCTGAACAACATTGTATGCAATTATGGCACCAGGACCCGGAAAATACATCTACTTTGCTACTACTCAGTTCTATACACTTCCAGTGTCGCCGGATGGAAAGGTCAGCCTACTTCAGCCAGTTGGCTATCAAACAAAACCCGCTAATGGCAGAGGCGTATTCCAATCTCGGGAATGTTTTCAAAGAGCGAGGGCAGCTGAAAGAAGCAATTGACAACTACAGACACGCACTAAGAATAAAACCCGATTTTATTGATGGATACATTAATTTGGCTGCTGCTTTAGTTGCTGCTGGCGATATGGAGTCTGCAGTAAACGCTTATGCAACAGCACTGCAGTACAACCCAGTATGATCCGTTCGCACCTTATCAAGTTTTTTAGGATTTATATTGTGTACGAAGTGATCTGGGAAACTTACTAAAGGCACTTGGACGATTGGATGAGGCGAAAGTAAGGCGGCATATAAGTCGCCGCGGCGCGCTGCGATTGTTTGCTTGGATATTATTTTGCTATGTTTTTTTAAAATAGCGGTCCACATGGCCGCCGCGCTGCTTAGTAAATCAAACAAACTTTCCAGCTCTCCTACGGTTTTTCTAATGAACGAGATTTTTTCTTTCAAACAGCTATGTGCAGTCTCCGATCGGTTGCTGTTCGTCAATCCTTCAGTCTGGACTGGTTCTGCGAACAAATGCATTCGTGAGTTCCCCCTTCTCCTACCCTTCGCGCGTTCCCTTAAGTGCAAGTTTTGCACTGCGCTTTAAGTTATTTCATCAAGTTCGGCTCAAGGGTGGTGAGTCGCTGTCTGTTCTAGGTAGTGATTGCGCTCGCATGCTAAGCTGTGGACCTGTCGGTTGACAGCCGCTCAGCGCCCGCGTCTTCTACTTTCTACCTATTTTCGTTTTTATTGTAGTCATGCTATCTGAAAGCGATTGAAACCTGTCCAACATTCGCAGTGGCTTGGAGCAACTTGGGATGTGTGTTCAATGCTCAAAATGAGATATGGTTGGCAATCCATCACTTCGAAAAGGTGGGTCTTGATTATATTATTAATTTTTAGGCTGTTACTTTGGATCCTACTTTTCTGGATGCTTACGTCAACCTTGGAAATGTGTTAAAGGAGGCTCGTATATTTGACCGTGCAGTAGCAGCCTACCTAAGAGCCTTGACATTATCTCCAAATAACGCTGTTGTCCACGGTAATTTGGCATGCGTTTACTACGAGCAAAATCTTATCGATCTTGCCATCGATACTTACAAGAGAGCCATTGAATTGCAGCCCAATTTCCCCGATGCTTATTGTAACTTGGCCAATGCACTCAAAGAAAAGGGAAAGGTTTCCGAGGCTGAGGAATATTACAACACAGCCCTGAGATTGTGTCCTACACATGCAGATTCTTTAAACAACCTAGCGAACATCAAGCGTGAGCAAGGAAAAGCGGAAGAGGCAATACGGCTATACGTTCGAGCTCTTGAGATATATCCTGAATTCGCAGTAGCTCATTCTAATCTCGCAAGCATGCTTCAATTACAGGGAAAATTGCAAGAAGCTTTGTTGCACTATCGGGAAGCCATCCGCATATCACCAACGTTTGCTGACGCTTACTCCAATATGGGGAACACCTTGAAAGAATTGCAGGATGTTCAAGGTGCGATGCAGTGTTATCAAAGAGCTATTCAGATTAATCCTGCCTTCGCTGATGCTCATTCAAATCTAGCTAGCATTCTGAAGGACAGTGGTAACCTCGCCGATGCTATAACATCCTACAAGACCGCCTTAAAATTAAAACCTAACTTCCCAGATGCGTTTTGCAACCTTGCTCACTGTCTGCAAATTGTATGTGACTGGTCTGACTATAAGCATAGAATGAAGAAACTTGTTTCCATGGTACAAGATCAGCTGGAATCAAATCGCCTGCCATCTGTACACCCTCATCACTCCATGTTGTACCCACTGACGCATGACCAGCGCAAAAAGATTGCCGGAAAACATGCTTCGCTGTGTTTGGAAAAGGTGTCTTTGCTGCATCACCAACCATTTAGATTTAGCAAAAAATTACCTGCTGGGCAACGTTTAAGAATTGGCTACGTTAGCTCTGATTTTTGCAATCATCCAACTAGTCACTTGATGCAAAGTATTCCAGGTCTGCATGATCGAACTAAAGTCGAGGTTTTCTGTTACTCACTCGCACCTGACGATGGCACCAATTTCAGGGCAAAGGTCGCGAATGAAGCTGAACACTTTGTTGATCTAAGTGGGATTCAGTGTCATGGAAAAGCTGCAGATAAAATCGCAAGCGATGGAATTCATATTCTTCTAAACATGAATGGCTATACAAAGGGTGCACGTAATGAAATATTTGCACTAAAGCCTGCACCGATTCAGGCTATGTGGCTAGGTTATCCTGGCACGAGTGGTTCGACATTTATGGATTATATCATCACGGATATGGTAACATCTCCGATGCACTTAAGCCACCAATACTCTGAGAAGTTGGCATACATGCCCAAGACATTTTTTATTGGGGATCATCAACAGATGTTTCCTCATTTACGCAACCGAGTTATTCTAGAGAGCGCTGAAGATGCCACCGCAGGGCGCCGTGTGACAGATAATTCCATCGTTGTTAGTGGCTTGGATATCAAACCTCTACTACAAGTTGCTTGTGTGCGCGAAGTCACTTATGGAGGTCGGTTGGTTGAGATTCATGGCAGCCAACGTAAAGAGGTTTCTTACTTCACAAAGCTCACCGTGTTAACGATTCCCTCGTTACAGCCTATACAAAACATGATTCGTACAAACAGTCCGTCTTGTACAATTAATGGCGTAACTATTCATAATGGTTTGGTGACACAGCAAACACAATCCAAAGCTTCTGCTGGTGAGGAAGTGCCTCGTGATCTCATTCTTACTTCCAGGCAACACTATGGCTTGCCAGAAGATGCCGTCGTTTTTTGCAACTTTAATCAGCTATATAAGGTTGATCCATCAACTATGAGAATGTGGGTTGAAATTCTGAAAGGTGTCCCGAACAGTGTGTTGTGGCTGCTACGCTTTCCAGCCGCTGGCGAAGCCGGTGCACTTGCGGCGGCCTCAGAAATGGGTCTTCAGCAGGTGAATCGTCGAATTTTATTTAGCAACGTTGCGCCAAAAGAGGAACATGTTCGGCGTGGTCAGGTAAGCTTCCAGAACTTTATAACTTATAAATACAGGTTGCTGATGTCTGTCTGGACACGCCTTTGTGCAATGGACATACTACTGGGATGGACGTTCTGTGGGCTGGTTGTCCTGTAGTTACCCTTCCACTCGAAACATTGGCAAGTCGCGTTGCGGCCAGCCAGCTTCACACGTTGGGATGTCCTGAGCTTGTGGCTAACAGTCAGGAGGACTACGTTCGAATTGCAACCAAGTTGGGGAACAACCGAGAATATCTTCAAGCAATGCGGGCTAAAGTAAGTCTGGTATATTCACTTCCGATATTCATTTTACAGGTTTGGAAGGCAAGAGAGTCGTCTGCTCTTTTCAGCTGTCGCAGCTACACTGCTGACATAGAAGCCCTTTATTTTCGAATGTGGCAGCAGTATGAAGCCGGCTCTATTGAACACATCGTAGAATGGCCGTCGAAGTTCAATAAGGAGAGTACTTAGTCTTGTCACCGTGATCTACTTGCTTGTAAATATATCATTTATTACTAACTTGGTTTTCTGCACTCTTTCTAAAGTGGTTACAATGGTAGTATGTTGTATCGCGTTAAAATTGCTGCTTATAAGAAATGGTGTGCTTGCTCGATGTATGTATTTGGATGATTAATCGCTGGATATCACCAACGAGTCACTTGAAACTAGGGGGTTTGGATTAGGTTGTATCGTTTCGTATATCTCTATCGCGTTCCTGGCTAAAGTAGTCTTTTCGGCTGCTTCGTCCCATGGCTTTATGTTGGTCAGTATCCTTACGTCTGTAAGTGCTTCATTAAGTTTGTCGTCATTTAACAAGTGGTGGGTCAGTAAGCACATTCAGTTGTTAGTTTTCTCACATTGAGTCACTACTGTTTATAATAAATATAACGACAGGTTGTTCGTTGATTTTCGTCTGCATCACTAAGCGTCATGTTTCTCAGCGTGTAGTTGGGGTGTATGTTTAGATAGTGGTTTTGGGAAGTGTTCGTTTGTTACGGTATTTAGGGTGTATCCAAACTAATCGACTTAGCATACCTGATACTCTACAATGTGGTTGGGAGATGACGTCTAATCTTACTGTACAATGTCAAGAAGTTCTATAAGTCTTAGTTCTTGCTGTTTTTCTGTATGGTGTTATTACACTAGGTAGAAACCAGCTTGAGGTTACATATGCAACGAAATTACAACCAACCTCTCTACAACAAATGAGGCGATTGAATGTTCAGGCCTGTCCCATACGTATTTGTGCTTAGATTTGCTCACAAGATTCCTCGTGCGAAGTAAACTATCGAGTGAGTGATGTAGTCGTTAATAGTTGTAAATTGTGGTGTAGGCATAGCACTAAGCATGAGGGCGGAACAAGCACTGTTAGAATGGATCCCCGTTAACAGTCGTTTATGTGCTGTTCGGCTAAACGGCGCCGTAAGAACTCGGAAGGATAGGGACACACGTCGTTGCCTTTTTGTCGTTTCTGCATACGCTCCCACCGACTGCAGCTCAGATGAAATGAAAGATGAATTTTACAGAAAGCTATCTGAACTTCAGAAAGCTAAACGTTCAGACATAGTACTCGTAGAAGGTGACTTTAATGCTCAGATAGGCAGTTTAAACCAAACAGAAATGCATTTAGGTGGATATTTTAGTATTCCGACACAGCGAACAGACAATGGTGAGCGTCTGCTGCAGCTATGTTCAGACAATCGTTTATTTTTAGCAAACACAAATTTTAAGCATAAGGAGAGACATCGTCTAACATGGCGACCCCCTACACCAAACCAACGATGGACTCAAATAGACCATATTGCCATCAATCATCGTTGGAGAGGGTCGGTAGAAGATTGTCGCTCATTCTGGAGTACCAGCTTGGACTCCGACGACGCCATAATACGGGCACGCATCTGCTTGCGCCTCACTGGACGGAAAGGAGCCAAACTAAAAAGATCCTTTAGAACTGAAATGAGTAGCGAGAAAACCAAAAGTCTGTTCCAGGAACAACTGAGGTCACACTTAGGTAGTTCGGAAAACGAGGCTGACCCAGATATTGCTTGGAAAGCTATACAAACAGCAGTGACATCTATCAGTGATTTAAACCACGAGGTTACAAAGAACCAATGGATTTCCTCAAGGTCTATTGCACTGATGGATTCTCGTAAACTCATCCCATCAGGCTCTGAACACGATGGAGAGCGAAAACAAATCAGATCTAGGTTAGGCAAAAGTCTAAGGAACGACCGTGAGCAGTGGTGGGCAACGAAAGCAAAAGAGATGGAAAAGGCGGCGGCTATAGGGAACACAAGACAGCTCTACAGACTAATAAAAGAAACTGGAATTAATAAGTCAAGTGTAAGTGAGATTATTTCGGAAAAAGATGATACTCTCATCTGCTCCCAGTCCAGGCGTTTAGAACGATGGGCGGAACATTTTAGAGAACAGTTCAGCTGGCCTTCAGCTACTCTACAACTACCCTCCATTCCCAGATAGTGTGAATGGATAATTGAAGTAGGTCCCCCAACTCTAGCAGAAGTTCAAAAGGCTATAGTTAATCTGAAACGAGGAAGGGCAGCTGGTCCAGATGGATTGTCTTCAGAGGTCTTTAAGGATGGTGGTCCAATTTTAGCGATTAGGTTGACTAATATTTTAGATAAGATCTGGGAGTTAGATGTTATCTCATCTGACTGGTCACAATCACTTGTCGTCCCAATATATAAGAGAGGGTTAAAATCATCCTGTGACAACCATAGAGGGATTAGTTTAACTAATATAGTATCTAAAATACTAGCCTCGATAATTATCAAACGCCTAACTGAGACTCGTGAACTGCAAACACGAGAGAATCAAGCTGGCTTCAGACCTGGTCGTGGCTGCACCGACCACATATTCACCATTCGTCAGGTTCTAGAACATTGGCATACTTATCGGCGTCCGACAATGGTGGTCTTTCTTGACTTAAAAGCAGCATTTGCCTCTGTAGACCGCGAGATTCTGTGGCAGTGTCTGTCATTGAAAGGCGTACCTCAGAAGTACATAAACCTTGTGAAGGCTCTTTACTCGAACACTACCAGTCGAGTCAGAGCTTATAGCGAACTGTCATCTACTTTTGCAACCTCAAGTGGTGTCCGTCAAGGCTGTCCACTTTCTCCATTTTTGTTTAACTTCATCATAGACCTATTGATGGAAATAACACTCTCGTCGACTGGATTCTCGGGTATTGATCTTCTTCCAAGAGGTCCATTTATCGACTTAGAATACGCGGATGACATAGTCCTGTTTGGTGAAGACGCTGATAGAATGCAGTCTTTTGGTAGCACTAAGCAACAATGCCAGAATTTTTGGAATGCGTTTCTCTCCCTCTAAATACAAGTTGTTGCTTCAGGACTGGTCTGCGTCAACACCTGAAATAAGGATAGGGAGTGAAGTAGTCGAATGCGTTGACATCACTTATCTTGGAAATCAGATCAGCCCGAATGGGTCGACATTTAACGAAATCTCATCACGGATTTGAAAAGCTCGTTTGGCTTTCGCCAACTTACGTCACCTATGGCGAAGGTTAGATATCCATCTATCAATAAAAGGACGAGTATACTGCGCGGCAGTCCTTTCTGTTCTAAATGACGGCTGCAAAACATGGCCATTAAGAGTTGAAGACACTCGTAAGCTACTAATATTTGATCACAGATGCCTTCGAAATATTGCTGCAGTCTGCTGGGATAACCGAGTAAGTAATAGTGAGGTTAGACGTAGGGTATTAGGGAATGATGGTAAATCAGTTGATGAAGTTGTGAATCGTCATCGACTGAGATGGTTGGGCCACGTGTTACGTATGCCCGAACACCGATTACCACGACGTGCAATGCTAACCGGTGTTGGAGATGGTTGGAAGGAAGTTAGGGGCGGCCAAACCAAAACATGGCATCAGTGCTTGAAGTCACTTACTTCTAGTCTGAGCCATGTTGGTAGATGCAGACTACTTGGTTGGGGTCCGCGTGACTGTCGTAACCAATGATTGGAGACTCTTGGTGACATGGCTCAGAATCGATCACAATGGCGTCGGTGTATGCACTTTTTGTCTTCCCTTAAACTAAGAGATTAAAATCGCTTCATATCTTTCTTTGTACGAACTAATTCTTTCTTCCTGTACTATATCTTTATATGCATTCGTTCTTTTATATATTACCACCTCTGAATTAACTACTTTTATGAATCCGGTGTCCATCTTGTTGTGTTAATGAGGTATGGCAACTTGGACCGATGCATATATGTGCCTGGTCTTACGTTGTAGCTGACTGACTTAGCCTTAAAAAAACTCCCTAACTCAACTAAAATTGACAAAAATTCCAAGGGAAGCAATATAACTAGTAGATAGCTTATAATTCTTGACATCTTGCGTTAATTGAGTTAACTATAAAAATCAAGTCACATGTGCATAAAATGAAATAAATCATCCAATAAAATGTCAAGTAAGAAATATATATATATATATATATATATATATATATATATATATATATATATATATATATACAAGGTTACAAAGGTATTTAGCTTTTGACAGGAAAATTTCTAATCATTATACGGTTGACAGTTTCTTCGATGCCTCAACATAGAAGTTTGCAAAGTACCCTGAACTGTAATAAATTTACCACAGGTTTCACAAGCAGCTTTACATTCATCTAAATAGTTATCATTTTCAAAATAATCTCTCTCATTTTCATTTCTATTTGATTCGTATAACGATATATTTTCATTAAAACATTTGTAATTATCATCACTGGAAGCTTCATTAAGCGATCCACAAGCGATTTGTTTTCGTAATCGTACAGCAAGATTATAACTGCTACTCGGATCATGATAGTCTGGCTCATCTATATCTTCTACATTCGATCGACCCTCAACTGATATCACTTCAGGGTATAATCTATGAAAGAAAGACGTAAAATAAGTATGACATAAATGTGTCCATTTCATTTATATTAATAACAACAATAAAATAAATAGCAGAAGGGGTTTTTGTGGATATTATAGTAATTTCAATAGTTGAGATCATGAGTCAGTTGAAGCTAGACCACCACGGAAAACCTAGAAGCACTGGAGTTCAACCGGGTCTGTTGTGAGATAGTAACTCACTGAAGACAATGGTGGATGTCGCTCAACTTCATGGATTAGTTGAAGTTCGACGTTAACACCGTTGGATGCCAGCCCAATGGTCTAGAGGCTGTGTTCACTCGCGAAACCGATAGGTCCTGGGTTCGGATCTCGTGAGGCGGGGTCGTGGATGCGCACTGCTGACGAGTCCCATGATAGGACGAAACGGTCGTCCAGTGCTTCCAGGTTTCCATGGTGATCTAGCTTCATTTGACTCGATCTCAACTACTGAAATAATAAAATTACTTGAAAAGTGTTTTGCATGGACTGATTATCCTGAGGAAAATCTCTGTTTTAGCATGGAATGACATAAACTGAACTAAAATATC